TATATAAGCTAAAAAATGTCGGAATCAAAGGCAATCTATTGGTGTGGATAAGACTTCCTAGTTGGGCGCCTGGGAAACTGTGCTTAGTGGAGTGTCCCAGAGTACAGTTTTGGGGCCAGTGCTATCCCTCTTGTATTTAAATGACCTTCCTCGTCTCCTATCATCATCGGTCTTGCTATATGCTCACGATGTCAAGATATGGAGAACGATACGATGTAAGGGTGATAGCTTAAAACTCCAAAATGACCTGAAGAAATTACCTGAATGGTCTCAAACCTGCCAGTTGCCGATAAATACTTCCAACTGTGTTGTGATGCATATCGATCATCAAGGTACAGATACACACACGATGAATAACACAGAACTACCTGTCGTCCAGACATATAATGACTTAGGAGTCGTCGTTAACCAAGACGTAAAGTCTACTGCACACTGCCGTGCAATAGCCGCCAAAGGTTTTAGAACCTTATGGTCAATACGTAGGGCTTTTAGTCATGTCGACGCTAAGACGTCTTCGACTTTGTATACAGTGTTTGTACGTCCTAAACTTGAGTACTGCATACAAGCGCTAGCCCCTGTTTGAAAACAGACAGTGAGCTTCAGGAAAAGGTTTAGAGAACAGCAAACTAAGCTGATTCCCGGAATAGCGAAGCTTCCGTATGATGCTCGACTGGCCAAGCTAAACCTTTTCCCGTTGTCATATCGCAGAAATAGAGGCGACTTGATTACAGTTTTCAAATTGCTTAGTGATAAATTTGCACCTGATATGCCATCATTTTCCTTGTCTTCCAAAACAGAATTTACGAGTACACTCCGGAACAAATTACTTGTCAGATGACTATCGACTTTCCCATCGAATCATCAACGAGTGGGACTCATTAACTCAGCATGTGGTTGAGGCTCCATCCGTCGGCTATTTCAAAAGAAAGTTGGATCGACTGAGAGATCACCATTGCCAGGACTAACACAGATCGTAAAGCCACTTGTCCCTTACAAACTGAAACTGATACTGTAAGCCATTAGGACGTCACCTAAAGGTCAATGATTGAAGGAGTTATATAAAAGGCTTGAATTTGAGTCCCCGAAATGATTTCGTGGCTCGCCGTTTAATACGCCCCAGACTGTCCTTATCCTAGTAGAGTGAGAAACGACATACTATGTTTCCGTACCCTTCAATCTTCAGTATTAGGGATGGTAGGTTGGTAAACCAGTCCTAATGCTGACATCTTGCCTTCCAGTGAAAAATCCAGTTTCTCCATGAAAATATTCAATGATAGGGCTCATACCACTTGTTCGGGCAAGGCGTTCCAACCTTCACTACTCGGTTAGAAAAATGAGACCACACATTACGTTATTAGATCACAGTTATGAACATTCTTCCTATGACCTCGGAGATTATTACTGCAGGAGGAAGCAAGAGGATAAGACATATTAACACCCAAATCATAATTAAAGATACGAAATGCCAGCATAAGGTCACCTTGCGTCCCACGATACGAAAACGGGAAAAGCTTTATGATAAGCCTACCGAATTCAACGCTATGTTCCTCCCCTAAGCTATTCTGTAACCCCCAAGCTAGAACTACACAGCGACCTGAACACGAGAGAGAAGACTCAAAGTATGCGAGAAGTAGTTTACTCCAAGGTTCATTTTAATATAGAAAATACAGGGGTCTTATAATATTTAAATGTCCTTGGGTTGCTAGAAGATTCTGGAATGCTACTAATCATAGTAGCAGTGTAGCAACCAGCCAATCAGAACCTCTACATGTGACGTTTCGCTTCCTTGATATTTTTGGCAAAAACTTCAAGTGAACGCCGATTGGACGAAACGCTTCTTAGTGTTTCCTGATGCTTGCTTGTCTTTTGCAAGCAATGTTCTGGATCACCCCAACAGTTTATGCGTTTTAAACGCTCATCGTAAGGGAGTTTAGAAAGACCCTTCACTAATTTCGTTCCCACACGCTGGACACGCTCAAGTGAGTTAGTATCCTTTACCTGACATGGGCTAGCTGCTTGAATACAGTACTCTAAATGTGGTCTTACATAGGTGAGATATAAAATTCGAAACGTTTCCTCGTCAAAAGATTTGAACGCTCACGAAAACCTTTGACAGCGGCTGCTTTGCAATGCGTAGTTGTTTTTAAGTCATGACTTATTATTACTCCTAAGTCCTTATGCTCTTGAACGCATGGAAGAGGTTTACCCTCATTAATATAACGGTAACTATTACCGTGACCGATGTGCATTAGTACACTCTTCCTAGCATTGATTTCTAAGCCCCACTCTCGAGCCCATCTAACTAAATCGTCTAAGTCAGCTTGAAGATCCAGATGATCAGCCGCACTTTTTATTGTTCTCCAGATTTTTACATCATCCGCAAACAATAATGTCGACGACCTAAGTAACAGCGGTAACTCATTAACGTAGAGAAGGAAGAGCAGAGGGCCTAAGATGGTGCCTTGGGGTACACCACTTTTGACCGGCTTCCAATCGGATAGCGTTCCATTGACCCTAACTCTCTGTCTGCGGTCACATAAGAAATTTCCTATCCACTCATGTACAGTACCTATTATTCCGAAGCTCGTGAGCTTCTGCATAAGACCTACGTGTGAAACCTTGTCAAACGCTTTGCTAAAATCTATGAATATCACGTCGACAGACAGACCGTGATCTAGGGCTGCTGTCCAATCCTCCCTCGCAATAAGCAAGTTAGTCAAGCATGAACGCTTGTTACGAAATCCGTGTTGCTCAGGAGCTAACAGATTGTGTAAATCTATGTGGCTTAGCAACCTAACCCGAATTATCTTTTCGAGTAACTTAACGACTATGCTAGTTAGACTGACAGGCCGGTAGTTAGATACTATCTGTCGCTGACCGTCCTTAAATATAGGACTAACTATAGCGTCCTTCCAATCTCTAGGGAGTTGAGCGAGTGAGAGGGACATGTTGAAGAGTGTCGCAAGCGGTTTTGAAATAATGTCCGCAAGAGATGACAGCAACCGTGGATGTAACCCGTCAGGGCCCGGTATCTTACCAGGTTTGAGGTTAGTTATCAACGGAAGGACAGTTTCCTCAGTCACCTGTACAGATTCAATGGTTGGTATCTCGGTGTGAGTGGGACAAGTATTTGTTACAATAAACGTAGAGAAGACTTCGCTAAAATAATCTGAAAAAGTCTCAGCTTTTGCTCGATCTGATTCAGCTAGTAATTCTGAATTTTCGTGTAACAGTAACGGGGGAATACCATCACTACGTTTCATTTGCCGTTTAACATACGAAAACAATCGTTTCGGACAAGTACGGCTATCATATACTAACTGTCGTTCGTAAGTGGTACGGGATTTCGCTATGGTTTTCTTACAGATATTACGGTATTTTTGGTACTCACGCTTAAATGGTGCATGACCTGTCAACAAGAATAAGTCCCAGAAATGTTTCCTACGCTTTAACAGCTTCCGGGTTTCCTTATTAATCCATGGAGGGCAATGTGATAGCTTACGTGCTGACCATGGGATAAACGGCGACGTTACGGACTCGAATGTAGCCTTAAACTTATTCCATTCATCTTCGATCAATCCATCCGCGTCGACCGACCAATCAGTCGAGATAGCACAGTTTCTGATTTCCGGAATATTAGCTCGCCAGATATTGGGACGGGGTGGAGCAGATACGAATTGTATACCATGTGTCCTAAACTTAAAGTGAATTACAACGTGATCACTGTTCACTAGTGGAGGAAGGTGCTGGATATCAAAGACATCCTCAGAGTGGTGGGTGAGGGCGAGGTCCAGCAGTGACGGATCATGTTGCAAATCAATATGTGTCGGTTTTGTGATACATTGTACAAGTGCACACTGAATAACGGTAGATAAAAGGTCGCTATCGAAACCACTACCTGGAGCTGTAAGCTCTATCCAGTTGATATGCGGTGCGTTGAAGTCCCCAATGATGAGACAACATTCTGCCATACTCCAAGAACAGATGTGTCTTAGGATAAAGTCGTCAGCCAGACAAGACGGACTACGGTATATTCCCCCTATAGTCACTAACCCATTTCTAGATTTAATCTTACAACATGCAACCTCACATGTGCCACTGATATGAGCCTCCGATATGGTTGATTGTATACGAAAGTGATCCCTAACGTAAAATATTATACCTCCCCCTTGCGACTTGAAACTCTATCACTTCTGATACAGATATAACCAGCAATGAAAGGAGAACAGTCTATATCAACGGTGAACCAAGTTTCTGTAACAACGATTATATCGGGACATAATTCTTGCACCATCAGACTTAGCTCGGACGTTTTATTTCTAAGACTACGAGCGTTCGTGTAGCACACACTTAAGGTGTTTTGGAAATCAATCGTTCTACCCATACAGGCCTCGGAAGCATTGGCTTCCAAGACCTGACTACCCGAAAACCCTTAATGGTAAGGTTATTTTCGCCATTTAATTTGCGAGTCCTCAACTCCGTAAGAGCATTCTTCCACTTGATTCGATCCTCAAGCGGCCAATCTGGTCGAATACGGATATTTGAGGCACGAGTTTTTAGTGCGCTTTTCAATAATATGTCTCTTTCTTCAAAACTCCCGAGAACCAGCTTCAGGATTCTTCTTGGTTGGGTCTCGCCTCCAACCCATTTACCAAGTCGTATTACTTTTGTAATATGTACCCCTGAAACCTCTTCAGGTAGTACATTCCTTACCACAGACTCCACTAACTGTAGGTCATGTGCGTGTCTTTTAGCAGGGTCGTTGTCTTTCGACTCCTCTAGATTCCAAATAATTAAACTAGGGAGGGGTTTAGCTTCTTTTGAAACTGTGTTCACAGCTTTCGACCGTGACGTTAGATCCTGTATTTTAACTACTGGTATCTTACGATTAGTTTTTATTTTAACAGAGTCCTGGGAGTCAAGCGAATGACTCACAACAATGTCAGACGAAGCTTTACTATGGACTTTGGCGGATTGGTCTGAGAGTCCACCAAGGACTTACCAAGTAAACAGTCATTAGTTTTAGCTGTCTTTCCTACTCTTCTGCGTTTTCGCGTCATCCATTTTCCATCAGTCGAAACGTCTACATTAGAACAACTCGGGACAGTAATTGTTTTATCTGGGTCACCGGTTGCTGCTGTAGCAATATGGCCACCAACGTCTAATGACGTGTCACTCACTGATCGTTTCGGGGGAGAACGTTTAACTGCGGGTTGCACAGGTAGATGTCTGGCTTGCGCCGTGATAGCACTTACGACACTAACGCAATCTTCGCCATCAGTACCAATGTTATCAGTACAGCCCTCATCAACCTTCTTATTAGCCAACACCAGGAGACTAATTGCTTCCTGGATAAGCAATGTTTTGCTCGAGCAACAAAAACTACAAAGCCAATGAGAGTTGGGCTTTGAACACCTTTTATATGCAGTGGGGCTTAATCGGGTGCACATCTTATGGAACCACTTATTACACTCATCACATTGCATCCCTTCATCCACGGGAAATAAGCAGTATGGTTGTCCACATTTATGAGTAGACCTAGCCATCTTGAAAATCAACTAGAACGGTGACAAAATCAGGATATGTAAAAGGATTTTCAAACCTAAACTCAATAAATCAAGTATACCCCAAGGCACCATCTGCGGCCCTCTGCTTTTCCTTCTCTACGTCAGTGAGTTACCGCTGTTGCTTAGGTCGTCGACATTATTGTTTGCGGATGACGTAAAAATCTGGAGAACAATAAAAAGTGAGGCCGATCATCTGGATGTTCAAGCTGACTTAGACGATTTAGTTAGATGGGCTCGAGGTTAGGGCTTAGAAATCAATTCTAGGAAAAGTGTGCTAATGCACATCGGTCACGGTACTAGTTACCATTATATTAATGATGGTAAACCTCTTCCATGCGTTCAACAACATAAAGACTTAGGAGTAATAATAAGTCATGACTTAAAAACAACTACGCATTGCAACGCAGCCGCTGTCAAAGGTTTTCGTGAGCGTTCAAATCTTTTGACGAGGAAATGTTTCGAATTTTATATCTCACCTATGTAAGACCACATTTAGAGTACTGTATTCAAGCAGCTAGCCCATGTCAGGTAAAGGATACTAACTCACTTGAGCGTGTCCAGCGTGTGGGAACGAAATTAGTGAAGGGTCTTTCTAAACTCCCTTACGATGAGCGTTTAAAACGCATAAACTGTTGGGGTGATCCAGAACATTGCTTGCAAAAGACAAGCAAGCATCAGGAAACACTAAGAAGCGTTTCGTCCAATCGGCGTTCACTTGAAGTTTTTGCCAAAAATATCAAGGAAGCGAAACGTCACATGTAGAGGTTCTGATTGGCTGGTTGCTACACTGCTACTATGATTAGTAGCATTCCAGAATCTTCTAGCAACCCAAGGACATTTAAATTATTATAAGACCCCTGTATTTTCTATATTAAAATGAACCTTGGAGTAAACTACTTCTCGCATACTTTGAGTCTTCTCTCTCGTGTTCAGGTCGCTGTGTAGTTCTAGCTTGGAGGTTACAGAATAGCTTAGGGGACGAACATAGCGTTCAATCTGCAAGATTCTTTCTCGTTGAGTTAATTAACTGTTTTGATCGTAAATTACGCATCAAAACTACTGTTTACACTTTAATTGCATCTACCCCAGTTAAAGTGATATTGTATTGAGTTTTTCGATTTTGCTTCTGTGTATTTATTGCATCGAAGCATACTTGGTCGACTTTTACTTGGTTTATTTAGTTAAGGTTTGAAAATCCTTTTACATATCCTGTTTTTGTCACCGTTCTAGTTGATTTTCAAGATGGCTAGGTCTACTCATAAATGTGGACAACCATACTGCTTATTTCCCGTGGATGAAGGGATGCAATGTGATGAGTGTAATAAGTGGTTCCATAAGATGTGCACCCGATTAAGCCCCACTGCATATAAAAGGTGTTCAAAGCCCAACTCTCATTGGCTTTGTAGTTTTTGTTGCTCGAGCAAAACATTGCTTATCCAGGAAGCAATTAGTCTCCTGGTGTTGGCTAATAAGAAGGTTGATGAGGGCTGTACTGATAACATTGGTACGGATGGCGAAGATTGCGTTAGTGTCGTAAGTGCTATCACGGCGCAAGCCAGACATCTACCTGTGCAACCCGCAGTTAAACGTTCTCCCCCGAAACGATCAGTGAGTGACACGTCATTAGACGTTGGTGGCCATATTGCTACAGCAGCAACCGGTGACCCAGATAAAACAATTACTGTCCCGAGTTGTTCTAATGTAGACGTTTCGACTGATGGAAAATGGATGACGCGAAAACGCAGAAGAGTAGGAAAGATAGCTAAAACTAATGACTGTTTACTTGGTAAGTCCTTGGTGGACTCTCAGACCAATCCGCCAAAGTCTCATAGTAAAGCTTCGTCTGACATTGTTGTGAGTCATTCGCTTGACTCCCAGGACTCTGTTAAAATAAAAACTAATCGTAAGCTACCAGTAGTTAAAATACAGGATCTAACGTCACGGTCGAAAGCTGTGAACACAGTTTCAAAAGAAGCTAAACCCATCCCTAGTTTAATTATTTGGAATCTAGAGGAGTCGAAAGACAACGACCCTGCTAAAAGACACGCACATGACCTACAGTTAGTGGAGTCTGTGGTAAGGAATGTACTACCTGAAGAGGTTTCAGGGGTACATATTACAAAAGTAATACGACTTGGTAAATGGGTTGGAGGCGAGACCCAACCAAGAAGAATCCTGAAGCTGGTTCTCGGGAGTTTTGAAGAAAGAGACATATTATTGAAAAGCGCACTAAAAACTCGTGCCTCAAATATCCGTATTCGACCAGATTGGCCGCTTGAGGATCGAATCAAGTGGAAGAATGCTCTTACGGAGTTGAGGACTCGCAAATTAAATGGCGAAAATAACCTTACCATTAAGGGTTTTCGGGTAGTCAGGTCTTGGAAGCCAATGCTTCCGAGGCCTGTATGGGTAGAACGATTGATTTCCAAAACACCTTAAGTGTGTGCTACACGAACGCTCGTAGTCTTAGAAATAAAACGTCCGAGCTAAGTCTGATGGTGCAAGAATTATGTCCCGATATAATCGTTGTTACAGAAACTTGGTTCACCGTTGATATAGACTGTTCTCCTTTCATTGCTGGTTATATCTGTATCAGAAGTGATAGAGTTTCAAGTCGCAAGGGGGAGGTATAATATTTTACGTTAGGGATCACTTTCGTATACAATCAACCATATCGGAGGCTCATATCAGTGGCACATGTGAGGTTGCATGTTGTAAGATTAAATCTAGAAATGGGTTAGTGACTATAGGGGGAATATACCGTAGTCCGTCTTGTCTTGCTGACGACTTTATCCTAAGACACATCTGTTCTTGGAGTATGGCAGAATGTTGTCTCATCATTGGGGACTTCAACGCACCGCATATCAACTGGATAGAGCTTACAGCTCCAGGTAGTGGTTTCGATAGCGACCTTTTATCTACCGTTATTCAGTGTGCACTTGTACAATGTATCACAAAACCGACACATATTGATTTGCATCATGATCCGTCACTGCTGGACCTCGCCCTCACCCACCACTCTGAGGATGTCTTTGATATCCAGCACCTTCCTCCACTAGTGAACAGTGATCACGTTGTAATTCACTTTAAGTTTAGGACACATGGTATACAATTCGTATCTGCTCCACCCCGTCCCAATATCTGGCGAGCTAATATTCCGGAAATCAGAAACTGTGCTATCTCGACTGATTGGTCGGTCGACGCGGATGGATTGATCGAAGATGAATGGAATAAGTTTAAGGCTACATTCGAGTCCGTAACGTCGCCGTTTATCCCATGGTCAGCACGTAAGCTATCACATTGCCCTCCATGGATTAATAAGGAAACCCGGAAGCTGTTAAAGCGTAGGAAACATTTCTGGGACTTATTCTTGTTGACAGGTCATGCACCATTTAAGCGTGAGTACCAAAAATACCGTAATATCTGTAAGAAAACCATAGCGAAATCCCGTACCACTTACGAACGACAGTTAGTATATGATAGCCGTACTTGTCCGAAACGATTGTTTTCGTATGTTAAACGGCAAATGAAACGTAGTGATGGTATTCCTCCGTTACTGTTACAAGAAAATTCAGAATTACTAGCTGAATCAAATCGAACAAAAGCTGAGACTTTTTCAAACTATTTTAGCGAAGTCTACTCTACGTTTATTGTAACAAATACTTGTCCCACTCACACCGAGATATCAACCATTGAATCTGTACATGTGACTGAGGAAACTGTCCTTCCGTTGATAACTAACCTCTAACCTTGTAAGATACGGAGCTCTGACGGGTTACATCCACGACTGCTGTCATCTCATGCGAACATTATTTCAAAACCGCTCGCGACACTCTTCAACATGTCCCTCTCACTCGCTCAACTCCCTAGAGATTGGAAGGACGCTATAGTTAGTCCTATATTTAAGGACGGTCAGCGACAGATCGTATCTAACTACCGGACTGTCAGTCTAACTAGCATAGTCGTTAAGTTACTTGAAAAGATAATTCGGGTTAGGTTGCTAAGTCACATAGATTCACACAATCTGTTAGCTCCTGAGCAACACGGATTTCGTAACAAGCGTTCATGCTTGACTAACTTGCTTATTGCGAGGGAGGATTGGACAGCAGCCCTAGATAACGGTCTGTCTGTCGATGTGATATTCATAGATTTTAGCAAAGCATTTAACAAGGTTTCACACGTAGGTCTTATGCAGAAGCTCACGAGCTTCGGAATAATAGGTACTGTACAGGAGTGGATAGGAAACTTCTTATGTGACCGCAGACAGAGAGTGAGGGTCAACGGAACGCTATCCGGTTGGAAGCCGGTCAAAAGTGGTATACCCCAAGGCACCATCTGCGGCCCTCTGCTTTTCCTTCTCTACGTCAGTGAGTTACCGCTGTTGCTTAGGTCGTCGACATTATTGTTTGCGGATGACGTAAAAATCTGGAGAACAATAAAAAGTGAGGCCGATCATCTGGATGTTCAAGCTGACTTAGACGATTTAGTTAGATGGGCTCGAGGTTAGGGCTTAGAAATCAATTCTAGGAAAAGTGTGCTAATGCACATCGGTCACGGTACTAGTTACCATTATATTAATGATGGTAAACCTCTTCCATGCGTTCAACAACATAAAGACTTAGGAGTAATAATAAGTCATGACTTAAAAACAACTACGCATTGCAACGCAGCCGCTGTCAAAGGTTTTCGTGAGCGTTCAAATCTTTTGACGAGGAAATGTTTCGAATTTTATATCTCACCTATGTAAGACCACATTTAGAGTACTGTATTCAAGCAGCTAGCCCATGTCAGGTAAAGGATACTAACTCACTTGAGCGTGTCCAGCGTGTGGGAACGAAATTAGTGAAGGGTCTTTCTAAACTCCCTTACGATGAGCGTTTAAAACGCATAAACTGTTGGGGTGATCCAGAACATTGCTTGCAAAAGACAAGCAAGCATCAG